GCCACTGTGTTTGGGGACATTTGGTGTGTGGTTGTCGATGCCTGGAACATGACCCATGTCCAGATGACCTGAGTCAAAGATCAGAACCCAAGAGGTATTTTGGGTTTTCCTGTTTGGCTCTGATTTTCCCCTCTTGGTTTTGGGTCAAGCTCTCTGGCTTGCCACAGGTGTAGGAGGAGATAGCCCACGTGTGGTCTAGCTCTAGAGATGAAGAAGTGACAAGCCTAAAAGTGACTCAGGGTAGTTTGATGTACAGCGAGCACTTGCCTACACTCTTGGTGACTTCTCTTTGGACAGAATGGAAGGCCTCTGGTCAGGACTCACCTTGTTTATTGATGGACCCCACTTTCCTGGCTCTGAGCTCTCCCACATCGCGGCATTAATCAGCCTGAGTCTCTCGGGGCAGCGAGTGGGGACGGACTGTGCAAGCAGCCCTCCCACATGAGCAGTCTTTCAGAAACTCTTGCTGCTGGCCAGAGCAGGCTCCCTGCTGTGTCCAGTGCCACTCCTGTCACTCAGAGGCCGGGGACAGGCTGAGGCCCCAGAGAGTTTGCATGCCGTGGCCTCTGGCCTTGAGTGCACTCACTGTGACTGGGCAGGTGGTAGATGGGGCTCCTGTGGCGGGGACTGCCAAAATGCCACCAGCAAAGACAGCAGAATTCAACGAGCTGCCAGCCCTGCTCAGTGCTAGGAAGAGTAGGTGGGTTTGTTGAAAATACTCCTATTACAGTTAGTTAACCTTTATGTTCCCTAAATGAAAATTGTATAAACCTGAAATTTCCGTTGATCGGGTTGCCTAGGAACAGGCAGCAGGTTTTCCTAAGACAAAGCGATAGATTGCCACTGATAGGGCTGTTAGGAAGTGAGCTGGTTAGCGGCATTATTCCCATCCTGGTGTCAGCCTTAGGTAATTATCTGCCTGCCTGCTCAGGGCACGCCCATCTTCCTGTGCTGGGGCAGCTCCCTGCAAAGGAGACTTCTCTCAGCCTTCAGCTCCCAGGATGGGAATGCAAAGGCAGGGCCTAGCGCTAATCACCATGCCTGAACTATGGGGAGAAATCTAAAAGGCCTGATGTGGTTGAATTTATTTCTTTTTAATTGTCTTTCTCCACCTACATGCAAGCGGAATCCCCCAATAACCCTATTGATGACAGACTGTTGCCTTGTTTTATGAAAACATGCGACATGCAGCCACTACATGGCAGGAGACTTGGAAAATAAACAGTAACAAAATACACCATAATTTTTTAAACTGCTCTAAGACAACTTTGGTAGATCTTTTAAATATTTTTAATACAGTATACACACTTGTTTTTTTTTTGTTTTGGTTTTCTTTTTTCTTTGCCTCCACAAAGTCAGTGTTAGTTATGTTTGTCTTCTTACAGTTAGAGTTACTAGTGTCCTGGTCTGCCTGGTTCCTAGGACCCAATACCAGTACCTCATGGCCAGTGTTTTTGGTGGCACTCAAGCAAACTCCACTTCATCAGTCCCCCGTTACTTCTCTTGGTTGTTTGGATTTGTGTGTGTGTGTGTGTCTGTCTGTCTGTCTATCTGTGTCTGTGTCTGTGTCTGTGTATACCCTGCCACACATGGAGAAGTCTTAGAGTACAACTTGCATAAGTTCTCTTATGTTACATGTGGGTTCCAGGGACAGCACTCAGGTGGTCCAGCTTGGTGGCAAGAGCCTTTATATCCTGAATCATCTCATCTCACCAGCCCAGTCCCTGTTGTTGGATTGTTGTTGTGGTTATTGTGATTCCCAGCAAACAGCCTCATTCATAGACCTTCACAGTACACATTCTTACTTGTAGGATTATTATTAGGTCAAAAGATGAGATCATAGCAGGTTTTTATATATTATCAGTTGCCCGTCAGGAAAATCAATCTGCCTGTTGTGGATTGAATTGTGGATTGTGCCCTACAGCTCATAAATTTGAACACTTGATCCCCAGCTGGTGATGTTGCTGGGGAACCTTTGGGGGATAGAGCCTCTCTGGAGGAAGTATGTCACTGGGGGCAAGCCTTCATTTGTTTTGTTTTGTTAATGTATTACAATTTCTTTTTAATGTGTGTCTCTCTCTGTCTGGGGTGTGCATTTGTACACACACACACACACACACACACAGATGTCAGATACCTTAGAGCTGAAGTTACAGGAAGCTGTGAGCTGCCTGGACTCAAAATCCAGTCCTCTGGAAGGGCAGTGTACACTTTTTTATTTCTGAGACAGAATCTCACTATGTAGCCCTGGCTGTATTAGAACTCACTGTGTAGATCAGGTAGCCTCAGACCCACAGAGATCTGCCTGCCTCTGTCTCCCACGTGCTAGGGTAAGAGACTTGCAGCTTCACACCCAGTTCACAATCAACACACACTTAACCACTGAGTCTCTCGAGCCCCCAGGCCTGATACTTACATAGCCCAGCCCCTCCTTTTGCTTCCCCTTTGCTCCCTGACTACAGAGGACAAATGACTGGCCACACCTCCCAGCTCCAGCCACGCCTTCCTCCACCAAACCGTGAGCCAAATAAATCCTTATTCCCTTAAATTGCTTCTTGTCAGGTATTTAATGATAACAATGGGAAAAGTAATGCATGTTCCTCCTTTCCTATACCCTCAGGACCCTTACTTCCAGCAGTGCTGTCCTCAGTGCCCATTGAATAGACAAAAATGCATCCCCTGTGCACACAGCACAGCATATGCATGGGGCATCAGAAGGCCGCTGTGGCTGTCAATCCTTGTCCTCCTACCTCATCTGAAACAGAATCTATTGTTTCCCCCATGTGCACCAGTTTTTCTGGCCCACAGGCTTCCAGGGATTCTCCCATCTCCTCATAGAACTGCCGGAATTATAGATGTCACGCCACACATCCAGCTCCTCCATGAGCTCTAGACATGCCTCTTCATGCCTCTGTGACATGCCTTCACCCTCCGAACCATCTTCGCAGTCCCCCAAAATAGTTTATTTTGAAGATATGTGCTTCTTTATTAACAGCTTGTGTCTTTTTGCCTAGTTTTCTTTCACCTTGTTTTTCCTTCTAATCTACAAAAAAGTAAAAACAAAACAAAAAAAACTCTTTATAATAAACATATCTGTCATGCACACTGAGTGATTTTTCTTCATTCTTAAAGATATTCTTAGTTAACATTCTCTCTCACTCTTTTCTTTTTTGGGGGGCGAGGTTCGAGACAGAGTTTGTGTATCCCTGGCTGTCCTGGAACTTGCTCTGTAGACCAGGATGGCCTCAAACTCACAGAGATCCACCTGCCTCTACCTATAGTTACCATTCTTTAAAAAGCAAAAATAATCCTTGTTACATGGTTTCAGAGTTCCCTTGATCACTTCCTTCCTTCTTTTTTTTCCCCCTGGAACAAGACCTTGCTACATAACCCAGGCCTTCCTCAAACCTGTAATCCTCCTGTTTCAGCATCCCTAGTACTTAGATTACAGGCATACACCATCACTCCTGGCTGTATAATTACTGCTAAAAATCCTAAGTATTTTTAATTGGCGTATCTGGGATTATTACTAAAAATACTAAGTATCATTAGTTGGAGTATCTGGGATAAACATATCTCCGAAATGGATTCTCTCTGTAGGTCACCCTTTTAAACAATGTGTACTGCGCAGTTTACCTCACTCTGCCTGCCTCAGACACGGCATAAGCAACTGTAATCTCCTGTGATACAGAGATACCCCTGGCAGCTGCTGAGCCACGTGAAGCTTTTGCTCCTCTGCCATATGTCCCCAGACTGTTTTAAATAAGATACCCAATTCTTCTTCCTCTGTCACCGTGAGGCTCCCATGCTGTTACTGTTGGCTGCTCTAAGTGCCCTGCTTTGCCCCGCCACAGCCCATCTTTATCAGCAATGGGCTTGATTTACAGCCAACCGTGCTTGTTAAACTCGCCTGTAAACTAAAAGCAAGTAGTGCTGAGCCAGCTCAGGCACTCCCGTCAAACTACGCAGGAGCTTCCGCAGGCCACAGGATTAGTTACTGCAGTTTCCGTTTTTTTATTGCACACCTTTATTTATGTTGGAGTGCGTGTGCCATGGCATACACGGAGGTCAGAGGACAACTCTTGAGGGTCAGTTTCTCCTGCCACCATGTGAGTGCCAGAGAATGAACTCAGGTCATCGGGGTTGACAGAAAGTGACTTTGCCCACTGAGCCATCTCCCTGGTCCTTATTTTTTAAGTCATAGTGTTCAGTAAGTGACCTCCATGTGCATATGTAGACTAGAATCGGGAGATTTTGGAGGCAGAAGATAAATGGAAAGATTAGCAGCCACTAAAAGACATGCGTGCTAAATGCAGAAGCAGTCATCCATAGGAATAGAGTCTATGTTTGAGCTTGGGACTCCCTTGGGAAGTTTCGTGGTGTGGGTTCCATGGGGATGGTGATGGCACCAACCTAGTAAATGTAACACCTGGCTTCAAGGCCTTTGCCTGCTGGGGGTGGAATGAGGTATGTTACTTCTGAGCCTCTGATGGTCAGTGTTCTCATCTGGGAGATAGAGCCAGGACTGAGTGCCCTCTCTGTTTCATAAAAGAGGGTCTCTGATGGCCTGATGCAAGGAGTCCCTAGCCTTCAGGACCATCAAGGAGTCTGTCTAAAAGGCCAAACAATCATGAAAGATGATTATAATTGCTGCCACTGCCCCTGCTGCTGCTACCCACGGGCCCATCCGTCACTGTCGCCGCCGTCTTAGCCATCATGCTTTCTGTACCAGGTTGCAGCCCCCGTGTGTATCTTTAGCTTACGTCCTCGCTGCCCTTCCAGAACCTAATTTCATCCTTGTAGGTTTTTCCAAAGCGGGATTTGCACAAGTGGTGTGGCTTCTTAAATATTTATTTTGCAGGCCATTTACTCAGCACAGCTATTTTTACAGTGAGTAAGGAGCAAGACTAAAAATAACAGCTCGTAACCCGATCGGCTCTGCGTCTGACATTTACGTGGAATTCATTTGCATCTCATTTGTTCTCCTTTCTGTTTAACAGGTAGAATGTAAGAAAGCTCAGCCGAAAGAAGTCATGTTCCCTCCTGGGACAAGAGGCCGGGCCCGGGGGCTGCCCTACACCATGGATGCATTCATGCTTGGCATGGGGATGCTGGGTGAGTCTGCACAGGTGTGGGACTGGGGTCCAGGGTTGTGGCAGCCTCTACACCCTGCTCAGTCACTTAACAGTAACTTTACTCGTCTGCACTTCAGTTTACCTGCGTAAGCTACTGATCCCCCATCTACTAGTGAGGCTAATAGGTTCCTCTTTGAGACGGTCGTGGCAAGCAGTTGAGCATCTGGACTTGATTTGTCTGTCCTTCCCCTTCCTCAAACACAGAGCAGGACCGCCCCCCCTCCTCTCAGCCTCAGCCTTCTTGGCCCAGTGAGAGTTCCTAAGACCTAAGAATTCCTTGCTGGTTTAACTTGTGTGAACTCAAGCTACATTTTTCTAAAACTTAGGAGAGGCACTGAAGGGTGGCAAGGGTGGGCACTAATCCTGTCTATTTAAATGATTAACATTTTTCTCTTGGGATATCAAAATTTGCATTTAAATGGATGTTTTAAATAGCCTGTTTTACTCTTTATTTGCAAAAAAAAATGATGAAAGACAAAGTGTGTTTGTTCTGACTAAAAATGATCTCTCCTGGCTTTTAGAGAAATTGAGTTGCATATTATGCCCCTTTCCTTAGAGGTATCTCTGTCCGCCCTGCGTAGATAATTGAAAATCTCACCGCTTAAATGGCATGAAAGATGGAGAAAGCAGAGGAGATGCGTAATGGTATGGGTCGCAACAATAATTAGAAATTTCAAGGCGAGAGAACGGTATTTTAGTGCAAGTTATTGTGTGTCGGGAAAATACTAATTAAATGGGATAAATGGTCGTTAATGGTAAAATTCCATTCAGGCACACGAGCTGTCTAGTTTTAATGGGTTTTCATTGGGCTTGGCTAAGAGTCCTTCTTCTATATTGTCTGATAAGCTCTTTGTATATTTTCAGATTTGCTGCTGTTTAAATCATCCCTGGCTTAGTCTTAAATGTATTAAACTTTCCATGCTCTTACAAAGAATTGTATCTACTTGTCTGAGAAAATAACTTAGGCAGGTAAAGCAATATTGAAGAACTTTAAAGACAAAGAATGGTGCCATTGAGAATATTTTTTTAAATGGCCAATCTACTAATTCTAAGATTAATTTTTTTTAGGCTTAACAGAGTTTACAAGAAAAATCCTATTATAGTTCTTTAGAAACTGCCTGTGTGATTCTAAAACTTATCTAGAAATAGAAACATGAAAAAAATAAAATGTTTTTTAAAGGGGGGGTAGAATCAGAAAACACCAGTTTGACTATATCCCAAAGCACTGCATAAGGCTACAGTAATTCAAACAATATGGCAGGGCTAGAGTGTAGCTCAGTTAGTAGAGTACTTAAACAATATGGCAGGGCTAGAGTGTAGCTCAGTTAGTAGAGTACTTGCCTAGCATACATGAAGTTCCTGCATGAAACTGGGCATGGCTGTACACACCTGTGAACTTACACTTGGGAGGTGGAGGATCAGAAGTTGGCAACATACTGAGCTCAGGAACTGTCTTACGGTAGACAGGATCATCCCTGTCTTCTGCTGGCTTAACCCATTACTTTTCTACTTAACAACAGTAAGGCAGCTGTGTGTATTCAATAGACACAGCTTTGACTATTGAGTTTGGATTTTTTTCCAGGCTGGCAGTTTACGGTGCCACACTCCCTGGGGTTGCTGGACAAGGGCAGCTGCTAAGTGGTAGCTTGTCAGAGAACAGCCATGTTCTCTGTCAGGAAGGGAATCAGGGACAAGTCTGCAGTGTGCTGTCACTTAGTGTGCAAGTTGGAAGGTCAGGTCTGGCAAATACACATTATCAGGGTGTAACTCCATCATCAGCTATAAGGACACACACTGGCTAGGGAAAATTAAAGAGTCTCCATAGTTCTATATACATGTAAGAGGATACCCGTGGCGTTTGCTGCGTGCATGTGGAAGCCACAAGTTTCTCACCGAACTTGGAGCTCATGAGTTCAGCTAAATTGGCTGGCCAGCAAGCTCCAAGAGTCCTCTTTGCTTCTGCACCCTGGATTTAAATATGACACCTCCCATTTTTATGTGGCTGCTGAGAAATCAAACTCAGGTCTTCAAGCATTTGACCCAACCAAGCCATCTCCTCAACCCTCTAGTTATTACTTCTAAACGATTATTAAAACCACTGAGAATTATGTCATGTTGCTCTGTAGCAGACTACTTAGCACTTGATGTATAGATGCCCTCGATTGCCCTTTTGTCCCCGATGGCGCAATGTAGCATGTGGTCCTCTGGCTCTTTAGGAGGAATCAAAAAGAAGACTTCATCCTCCCTAATTGCTTCATTGTTTGTGTCCTCTACCGTGGTAGTGTGACCTGGGGTGGTTTCCCTCTTTGGGTAGGGTCACCACCTCCATAGTGCATTGTTTGCCTATCAGTCCTGGGACCCATGCTATTACTGCCCCTAACAGTTTGACTTGGCTCCTGTAGAAAAAAAAGGAAAAGAAAAAATTATTCACTGAAGAGCTAGGCATGGTGGCACACGCCTGTAATCCTAGCGCATAGGAGGTAGAATTGAGAAGACAAGCAGTTCAAGGTCATCCTTGGCTATGTGGCAAGTCTGAGGCAGCCTGGACCATGCGAAAACCCTGTTGGATGAAAAGCAAACAAAAAGGTCACTGTGAATAGCCAGATGCAGTGGTGCACAGCTGTAATACTAGCACGAAGGAGGCTGAGGCAAGATCCCAGATCATAACCAGTCTAAGCTACATCATGAAATCCTGCAAAGTAAATACTCATTAATGAAGGGAGTTTCTAAGAAGAATATTTAAAAGCAAAAGTGTAAGCCACTGAAATGTTAAAATTTACTCATCCAACATATATTTACCAAGTGCCTACTGTGTGCCAGTGTAAGAACCTTGCCTCCAATCCCAAGGAGCCAATGTTCCAGTCAGGCGCTGAGACAGCCGGCATGCTGGTCTCATGACTGGGGCACCATGGAACTGATTTTTAAAATACCTTTCAGGATCTTCTCCATCCTTTGGGAGGTCCCACAAAAGGGGAACTGACAAGTATATACGAGTATGACATTCTTTCTTGAGCTCTCTTGATATGGCTGCGCCAACATCCTTGGGGAAAATGCAATGTGTTTCACCTTTAGCTTTCATGGCCTTTAATAGAATGGAATAAAAGATGGTAAGAATTTCTTAAAAGAGTATAGGGAGCTGAAGAGGAGGGGCATTGCTCCAAGGCCCCACTTCTTCTGAGCCAAACAGAACCAGAAACAACTGTGTCACCGGAGAAGTTGCTTTTGCGTCTCCTGGGGCCTGCCCCATTGTCCACATTCTGTGGGAACCCCCGTAGTCATCCAGCCTGATGCTGCAGACTCGCCCTAGCTTTTCTTAATGAAAGTAGGCTTAGTAAAAGCAAACACGTGACTGTTGATGCATTTGATTCCTCTTGGCTTTCTCTGCCTTCAGCCCCATATTCCCACTGCTTTTATTGCTCTTGGTCTGGTTGGGAACATGCTATTTATTAAGCACGTGGTAGAGAGAGAAAGCACAGTGCTGAAGCCTTGTCAGTCGGGGAAGAAGAGAGACGCTTCGGGCCAACTAGTGACTACCCAAAAGCGTTCTAATCTTCACTTGTCTCAAGAGATCCTTGCAAAACCCTATTACAGTGCAGCCAAACATTACCTCCTATTAAATGTAATGCAATAAATAAATAAAATAATCAATCATTGTTGCAAGGGCCTGGGGAGCCATGATCTGCTGATGGTCCAGATCAGGAGATGTGTAGAACCCACAGCTTGCCTTCTTGGAGTTGTCTAGAGACCCTGCTGGAATTTATCTTTCCCCAAAATACTGGTTTGCTTGTCCTAAGGAGGACTCCATTCGTGCGCCTATTTCTTGGTAGACAGAAGCAGCTCAGAGTCCAGCTGTTCCTTGCCCCTCTGGAGCAATGGGTCCGTAGAGACTTCTGTGCCTGGGAGACCGTGCTGTCCGCTTGCCAGTTTCATGTGCACATCAGCCCTTGAGCTTTTGTGATGGGTCCCAGGCGCCTAAGGAACTGAAGGTTTCCTTTTAGACAGTTTTCATTAAGGTTAAACTACTGTGGGTGTGGAGGAGGCCCTACAACTTGGGAGAATACTGGGCTGTGTGACTTTATAGACTCTCACATATAGAATACTGGGCTGTGTGACTTTATAGACCGACTCTCACATATAGAATACTGGGCTGTGTGACTTTATAGACCGACTCTCACATCCCTGCCTATGAGGGGCTCCTGCTGCTTGCTTGACCTTGTGGAGCTGTGGTGGGAGCCCCAGACCGTGCTACGCATGTAGCAGACACTTACTGTGCCCTCTGTATAAATGGCCCTTCTTGCTTGTCTCTTTGAAGTCAAGGGCCTGGGAAGAGCCTCTTCTCAGTTTGCTAGGTGGTTGGAGAAGAGCCTACATGAGCCATGACCCATCTAGGATGCAAACATCTCTAAGTTAGGAGCAATGATCTAAAGCCACAGTTTTGAGACGCCTGTGAGCATCTCAAGGAGGGAGCCGCAAAAGAACTTTCTAGCACACCCGAGTCCTATTGTCCCTTTCTGACTTGTGCAGCCACAGTGGAAAGCCTGGGTATGAGGAAGGTGGTCATCCAGACCGACGGCATGACTTTTTTTCCCTTTAGTGACAAGAGATAATTACTGTGGGATTGATCAGGCATCCAGAGTACTGGAGCAAATAAATTGTTCGGTGGCCAATGTGGGAGGGGCCCAGCTGCTAATGGAAGTGGTGGCTGGGTCATCCTGCTGTAATGTGGCTTGATGGAGCGTTCGCATGGGTCTACTGTAATGTGCTATTGATATGCAGCCAGCCAGTTTCCCCTGTGCGGCCCGGGCCCCGAGCCACTGGAGCAGAGCTGGGCTGCACAGCCGCAAATGAAGAGGAAAATTGAAGTAATGTTGTATTATAAATTTATAATTCCATCTGCCTGACAGAGGCTGTTCGGTACTGGGGGTATGGAGATGAGATCCCCCAGCGTGGCAGGTGTGGAATTTTCATCTTCATTCCTTGGGCGATGATAATATTGACCTATCCAGAAGAACAGAGTGAGGCCCAAAGTTTGCGTGAACCTGACTGTATGTTTCCTCTTCCGTGTTGCAGACTTTGGGATCTGCATGTGGGAAGACACGTGCAATCAGGTCATACAGATGGCTTGAGTTCCAGGAGGGACTAGCCATTCCACTGCTCCTCACTTACATCCAGGGAAAATAATGCATGGGCTTTTGCTCTTGCTGTCAAATTAACACTTCAAATTTAGGACCTTGCTCTGAAGTTAGTGGCAAAAGAGCCATTTTTCTTCAGGAAAGCCCCTAGGCAGTAGTGATTTGACCATTTGCCTATAATCCATTTATCAATATTGTTGAAATAGTGCTATAAGAAATCTAGCCCTGAAAGATCTGATTTGATAGTGGGTGATTAATTTAGAGGAAAATTGAGCTGCCCAGCCAGGAAATAAATTCCAGAGAACAGCCCATTGCGCATGCGTTCTATCAAGGTCTCTGGGGTCTGGCCTCTGCTCTGCACACACTCTCTCTCTCTCTCTCTCTCTCTCTCTCTCTCTCTCTCTCTCTCTCTCTCTCTCTCTCTCTTTCTTTCTCTCTCTCTCTCCCCCACTCCCGTGTGTATGTGTGTCTGTCTGTCTGTCTCTCTGTCTCCTCTTGGCTTCCCTCTCCCCCCTCTCTTGCTCCTCTCTCCTCTTCCTTCTCTCCTCTTCTCTCTCTCTTCCCCTTCCCCCTCCCTCCTCTCTCTGTCCCCATCAGGTACTCTAAGTTCAGTGACCTCTTAGGCTCCTGCCCCTCTGAAACTAGTAGGTACAAAGTTGCTGAACCATTCTGTCTTGCCTTACAGTCTTCTGCCAGTGAGGCCTCATGAGGTTGGTCTGTCTAGGACAGGTCCAGTGGCAGAGCCCAGGTGAAGTAGAGATAGCCCAGTTGGCCAGTGAGTTTGGTGGGACTGTATGTGTGGGAAGGCTTCAGCTGTAGCAAGGAACACAGCTGGTCATTGCTGAGAATTTGGGCACATCAGTGCTGTAGGTGACCTGCAAGGCTTTTTACCTGTGGCAAGACCCCACCTCTAAGAGAAAGGGGAAAACCCTGTCTTAGGTCAGAGTCCTGTGACAGAATCCCATAGGTCTTAACTGACATCTACTCTCAGTCCTGAATGCTAACAAATCAGAAATCAAGGCACTTGTAAAGCCCTACAAGTTCTAACTCGGGCCTCTGGGGCACAAACACTGACTGGCAGTGGGGAGAGCTCCAAAGCCTGACTTAGGATGGCGAGGAGAATGGAAACATGGTGAGCAGGCCTCTGCCCCCAGCCCTAGCTTGCAGGGTCAGAATGGGCTTGGTATGAGACTCCATGGGGAGGTGGATAATGAGAGCCCAGAGCTGTGCTTAGGGGTAGCGTGCAAGGAGAGCAGAAGCAGGCCGAGAGTGGCCATGCCCTCTGTCTTCTGGAAAGACTGGGGTCTGCCCACGTCCGCCACTGAAGTGGCTTTCGACCGTCTTTTCTGCAGAAACACAAGTATAGATGATTATGCGGAGTGGTGATACTTCGAGAAACAGGAAGACTGGGGAACAGAACCTGGAAAGCAGACAGGAGCTTAGAGAGCTGAGCTGTCAGAGCTCCAGCTGCCAGCCAAGGGACCAACCCAGAAGTGGCCTGGTCAGAGGGCCACTTGGCACCTCTGGATGCTGGATTGTCCTGCTGATGCCAGAGTAAACACTCAGAGTCACCTGCCCACCCTGTGTCCACTGGCTCTAGATGCAGGTCCCTGTAAAGGTTTGCATTGGCCTGCCTCCCAGGCAGAGCCAGAGTTCATTCAAGTGCTAGACACCCATGAGACAGCCACCTCAGAGGCCAAAGCTGAGGGCCAGCCAATGTGCTGGTAAGAGACTGAGGTGACATTTTTGGAGTTTGATTGTACAGAGCTAATCCACACTGAGTGGAAGGGGCCAGAATAGGTTTCTGGGGACAAGGACAGGAGGTAGCTGTGGAGCGGCTGTGACCAAGGAAATTATGATACAAGAAGGCTCCAGCTACCTTCACTATAGTCAGAATTGGGACAGGGGCGTGACTACTGAGGTGAACAGTGCTGAAGTGACCTCTGAAGTGGGAGATTGCTTCACAGACTGGAGCAGGACTCACGAGAGGGCTCTCAGCACCCCTCAGTTCATGATCACCCTAGGTCACCAGCTGCAAAAGGTCAGGACAAACCATGTACCATGAATTGTCCATGAAAATTCTGCACCCGACCTTCAGAGCACAGCTGGGGTTTCATGGTACATGTTTTCACACAGTCCCTCTGGCTCTTTTGAAGACATACTTCTGTGCAGTGTGCCTCCCCCAGCCATGGCTTGCTAAGCCGAGAGGCAGCCCTCTGTGTGGCTACTAAACTGCCAATCCCAGAGTACCCCTGCCCCATGTGGTACTCTGGCTCCTGTCCACTCCCGTGGAAGAAGGCAGTACAAGGACTTTAATCTCCTACTGTCAACATCCTTAAGGTAAAGTACATTCAGGGTAAGCTCTCCAAATGTCAGAGCCAGATACAGGCACCGTGTTCCTTCCTCCGTGTGGCATTTACTCTACAGACTCGTGAATGTACCTGAGCTTTGGGAAGTCTGGCTGCCTAAGTACGGGTTAATTATAAACATCCTGATGGTCACACCTCTAGCCGTGGGAGAGAGGGGATCCAGGGCCTGGGTAGAGACCCTCCCCAGAGACGTATCAGTCTGTGAGAATAACCACTGCTGATGTTCACTGCCATCTACCCTGAAATATCACCCCAGATCCAAGACCACTGTCTGATGCCTCGTTCTTTCTCTCTGTGTTCAAGGCTACCCCAACTTTGTGGCAACCTATGGCCGAGGCTACCCAGGATTTGCTCCTAGCTATGGCTACCAGTTCCCAGGTGAGTGGTTTAGATACTGGGGTTGTGGAAAGTTGGGAGGTGGGCTGCTTCTGGAGGGGAGCAGAGAGAGGCTCCAAAAGAGAACACAACTGGCATAGCTGTGTGTGTGGCCTTCCCAGTACCCCCGGTCCAGGGTCAGGGGATATGTAGCTGGGGCTTTCCAACGGACTAGAGTGTTTCCTTGAGGCTGGTGGCAAAATGGGAGGAGGGAAGAGGGGGAAACCCCTTCTGCTCACTTCCTTTGTCCCCAAGCTGTTGTCAGTCTTCTCCTGGGGATTAACTTCAGGCCCAGGGCTTGTCGCATCTACCATCCCTGCTGCCTGCTGCTCTCCACATCTACCTGTCTAATGCCTCCCAGCCTGCCTCCTCTCCCTCCTTTCCTCTAACCCGCCTGACTCTCCTGACAGGGCTTTTCTGGAGTATGCTGGCGAGGTTGCAGGAGTCAGACCTTGTGCTTGGGCCCCTGAATGAGCTGTGCAGATTCTCACTCTACCCCGCGTAGCTAGCAGAGCATGGCCCCCCACATGCCTTGGTGCTTCACTTCTGAGGGAGCTAGTGGGCGTGGTCTGGGGGAAATGGGGAGGAGGCTGCAGGAAGTGATGCTTTAGGGGTGTTGATGCTCTTTGTGAGGAAAGCTTTCTCACAGTCAGGCAATACAGATGACATTATATTAGGGTGCCTAGTGTGTCAGAGTCAATGTGGCCAGAGCTGATGTAAAGGAAGTCTGTGCTCCATGGTTCTCTGTGGATGGGTGGGGTGGGGGCTACACTCAGTGGCTATACTTGGGGTTGTCACATCTCTACTTGGAGACCTAGGAGAAGTCATGAGCAGAAGGCACAGATAGCTGGCCCGAGGGAAGGCTCTCTGAACCTGAGGAACAAGAGGGTGGAGGAGAGGTCTAAGGCTGCCACCGGCCTCGGCTCAGGCTATGAGATAGTGACAGAAGATGTGTAGGGCTGTGTCCCATGATTCTGGCCAGCACTGGAAACCTAGACACTTAACCCTGACTCTAGTACCAGTTGGACAAGTGGCTGTGGCAAGTCACCTGCTTCTGAGCCTCACTTGTCTTATCTGTGAATGGGTGTGGAGGGGACCTTTGAAAGACGATGATTGCATCTCTCTGACTGTGGGGTCAGGCAGAAGGGAGATAGATAGAGCTACAGAAATTCAAGGTAGAACAGTGAGTGGGGTGGCTTCCCTGGGACCTAGCAGTTCCCCCATCTGGGAGCTGCTATCAGCAAGGACCCTTAGTGGGCCCTCTCCACAGCCTCTCTGGAGCTTGTAATAGCTTGGACTCCTGGACCTGAAGTACAGAGAATCTATATTCAGGCTAGAACTGTTCCTACTTGATCCCCACTACAGGTGGAGATCCCAAGGCACAGAAACAGAGTCACAGTGAGCAAGGGACAGCAATTAGCCCAGGCACTCTGAGCCCTAACTTCTCACTGTTAGCCGGCATCCACTTGTCAACTAGGTACCATTGGCCACTACAGTTTAGATCTGAAGTAACTAAAATTCAGGAGAAAGGAAAAGCTGAGTTCTGCGTTCACACTGGCCACATACCAGTGGCTCAGCATCCCATGAGGCCGAGGGCAGGTCTCAGAGTGGAAAAGTAGTCTATTTCCATCCCACTGAGAGTTCTGTTGCTCGGTGCTGTTCCAGAAATTAAAAGATGGGATATGGTGGTACTCTAAAGGTGTGTATAATGCAGAGTTGGAGGAACACAATGTGAAATAATTTGGGAACAGTGAAGTGGACCCCATGCTAAGACCACTGTCTTGTCTGAACCAGCTCAGGGAGCATCTGGTAGTGCCCTGACTCTGTGGCCTGCATCCTTGGGTCTGTTCCAGACAGGCATGCCAGCGTGACCTAGCTGAGGCTGGGCAAACTGAGGTTGTGTTCCTCAGATGCTTGGCTCTGGGAAGCCAAGGCTTTGATAAGGGGTGGGTACAGTGTCTATGCCTGTAGATGCTGTTCATCTTCACCACGGCACCAACTCCTCACCTGTGGCCAATCACTGGGGTTAAATGGGAATAGAAACAGCTTTGAAGGCAGACAGTGTTCCCTGGCTCACAGGGTGAGCAATTCATTCTCAACCACCAAACTTTCTAAGTTCTGTCCATTTGTAGCCACACTTTGAAGCCTTTGGATTCTCTTATCCCATGATCAGAGAGGGACAACTGTCTATCTGCAGCTGAGGAGGTGTGAGCCACCCAGCCTTTATCTTAGTGTGTCAGGAGCCAGGATGAGGTCAGAGCTCACCCCACTCCTGACCCTCGCCCCTGGGAGTTGCCCTTCTTGGAGATCAGCCCCCATCTACTTGTTCTAACATGCTGCCAAGCCCCAGGTGGTTCTAGACACAAAGCCTAGGCTGGCTCCCGTGTCCCTCCAGTCATGAGTTCAGGGTGTGGTCAGTCTCCCTCTAGAATCAAACTTGACATCGTCATGAAGCGAAAGACTTGGTGGGCCCCTAGGGCACAGGAGCTTTAAGTTGCTCTGACTTCAGTCTCTTGTCTCACGCCATAAGGACTATTTGCTTGCCGTGGGTGTGGCTAAGGTGGCAGTGGGGCTGCAGAGTGGTGCTCCGGAGTCCCACACCCCTCTTAAGCCTTCTGAGTCCTGATTCCATCATAGAGGAATGCTGGGAGAGAGGTGACAGCCCACCCAGGTTCTCAAACCACACCCTTCCGTCACTAGCAGGAAGCTGGGTCCTTCTCAGCACACAGGAACCTAGTCCCTTCCAAGGTGTTCTTTGCACATGTACCTTTTCATCCATCTCAACTTATTGAAGGTCTCACCCAACCTCTATGATATTTAGTCCTGGCAGATCTCCCCGGGCCATACAGCTGTGTTAAACAGGTTTGACCCCTGCAGCCACCTACAGGATTCTTTGAGAACAAATACAGCGTGCTGAGAAATGGGGTACACAGCCTTGGATCAGTATTGGGGTTGGGGCTCTTTCCTGGGAAAGCTAAAGGTAGCCACTTTGCAGATGGCTCCTGCGTCTCATGCTCAGCCCTTGCCCTGTGTTCTCATCAGCATTGAAGCTGGAACTTGGTCCTGTCATCGGGGGTCTGCCCACTTCTCACAGCATCCCCTTCTGGGCTTCTCCCTTCTGTTTTCTCTGTTAGCTAGTAACTCTGTTTACTCTGGGTCTAGTCCTATTTTACTTTTCAAACTATTTGCTAATTTTGATTCGTGAGCTATAATTGTAATCAACAAGCTCTTAAAAGGCATTACAAGCGGGGGTTGCCATCATTTCTAGAGAGTGCACACTCCTGCCAGAGCCACCCAACTGCTGGCAGGGCCCACTGAAATCTGTCCTGTCTGGCTGGTTGAGTGAAAGAACATGATTTTTCCTGTTTTAAATTCTGGAAAAGACCTCAATGTTTTGCTTTGTTTTGTTTCAGAAAACTTTATGCTCCAGCTACACACACACACACACACACACACACACACACCACACACACTTTGCTTCCTGAATGAATGGTGGCTAGACACGCATGCGCTTGCACACCCATGCACATGCACAGGTGCACGCATGCACACAACTCCCCAGAATGTAGGGAACTGCTCACAGACTTTGTAGGGATTGCCCAGAGGGATCCTGAAGATGCTGCCCTTTTAGAACAATGATCAAGCATGCTTGCTGGGCATCTCACAGGGCAAGGGGTGAACTTTTAAGTGCTGATGGCCTGGCCAGAAGGGTTGCAGCTGTGTGCTCTGGAGGGAGCACCTGTGTCCTGCGGTTCACGTTGGCAGTGTGAACACACACACACCCATGTGGCAAATGGGATCTGAATGAGCAGCTGTGCAAACACTTTCCAGGTGCCCTTGTCCTTTGGGGCCACTCTCTTAGTGGATATTGCCTCAATGAATTCGTCTGTCTTCGAGAAGGGACAGCAGAGTCGCCCTGACCCTGCCAGTTGTTTCACCCATGGGCACAGACCCCTACTGGGCACCCCTTCCCCAGCCACTACCCTACCTGTGTGTCTTGTCCCTACTTCCGGCACCACCAGGGTGGGAAGGGGCAGGACAACTGGGACCATCTAAATAAGGCTAACACCCTGACAGCCACCCCTACCCAGAAGGATCTTGTCATGCTGACCCTCTTTGCTAGTAACGACGGTTCATTTGCACCCACAAAAGCCAGAGTTTGTGACCTGTGACTCTGTTTGACTGTGAGCAGCTCTGTCCATTGGGATGCCAGTGTCCTTGGTATTTACAGAGCGAGTGAGTTTGACGGGAGGTCTGTGCAGTTTGGCTTCTCTTGTTAAAGATAACTGATGCAACAATTGCCTGCTTCCTGCTCATTTTCCTGCAGGCTTTTTCATGAGTGGTGGTGGTGTCTGCTCTTGCAAGAGAATACAAAACTTACAGGCTCTCCCCTCTCACTATGACCTTGGCTTCTGTGGACTGCTTTGCTCTGGTGAACGGGCCCTAAAGTGCGCGCCTCTCGGGTCACTCAGTTCAGCCATTGTGAGTCTCCCCATTGCCGTAAATAGTTCATCTGCACTGCTCCCTAATGGCATTTTATGTTCCCCCTGTAAGCAGCTGAGGTAGAAAAATAAGTTGTTTACCGTGGACACGCTATGTGCTGCCGTCTCTTAGCTTGAGAGTGTCCTGTTCTCGCTCCAGGGGAGGTGAGTGCACTAAATAACCATAGCCGGTGACAGCCAAGTTCATTTTGTAGACGTATGCCAAGTCCGTGCGTCCCTGTCATCCCCCCCGCTGCTGGCCCCAGCTCTCCCCTCTTCCTCGGCAGAGAGCCCTGTGCTTCCGCTGGAGGTGATCTGTCCTTGAGCAGAGACAGGAAGAACATCTGCTCACACCAGCTGTGGGATAGTGCCCGCCCTGTGCCTCCCTCTGCCGTCACTCCCTCCCATCAGTGAAGACAACGCATTTCACATCTGTGCATCAGGTGTGGGTCTGCACAGTTGAGCACGTGCTTCAGCACACATCTTACATTCACTGTCCTGTCCCCCAGAGCAGTGCAGGTC